TTTGATTTCTTTGAGCAGCGTTTTGTAGTGTTCATTGTAAAGGTCTTTCACGTTTCTGGTTAGGAAGATGCCAAGGTATTTCATTTTTTTTGTGGCTATTGTGAATGGAATTGTGGTTTTTATTTGGGTTTCTGTTTGTTTATTATTGGTGTAAAGAAATTTAATTGTCTTTTGCACATTTATTTTATATCCTGAGACTTTGTTAAAGTCCTTTATCAGTGTAAAGAGTTTTTTGACAGATTCTCTTGGGTTTTCAAGGTACACAATCATGTCATCTGCAAAGAGAGAGAATTTGACGTCCTCTTTTCCTATTTGAATACCCCTGATTGCCTTCACTTCTCTGCTCTAGCCAGGACTTCCAATACTATATTGAACAGGAGGGGTGAAAGTGGGCATCCTTGTCTTATTCCAGTTTTCACGGGAAATGGCTCCAATTTTTGTCTGTTTAGGAGTATGCTGGCTGTGGGTTTCTCGTAGATGGCTTTTACTATTTTGAGGTATGTTCCCCGTATGCCTAGATGCTTGAAGGTTTTTATCAAGAAGGGGTGCTGGATTTTATCAAAAGCTTTTTCTGCATCTAATGATAAAATTATGTGGTTTTTGTATAAAGACTACTTCTTTACAGCCCCCCTCACTTTGTGTTACTTTATATATGAAGTATCCATTAACTGTTTATATCTTTATATATGAAGTATCCATTAACTGTAGTAACTTTTTATGCTTTTGTCTTTTAAATTATATAAAATAATTCATAGTAGAGTTAGCCAAAATTCCAATCATACAGGTCTTTGTATTTGTTCCCATATTTACGTTTATGGGAGACTGTCATAGTTGCATATGCCTTTGAGCTATTGTCTAGCATTCTTTGTTTCAACTTTAAAAAGTCCCTTTATCATTGTGTAGGGAAGGCAGTGGTAATGACTCCCTTGGCTTTTATCTCGGAATGTTTTAATTTCTTCATTTTAAAAAAATTTTGATATTTTAGCTCAGGAGGTACTACATGTGTGTGTGCATTACATGGACATATTGTATAGTGGTGGGGATTGGGTCTTAGGTCTTCGTTTTTGAAGGACACTTTTGCTGGATATTCTTATTGGAAGTTTTTTTTCCCTTTCATCACTTTATGTATATCACTCTACTGCCTTCTGGCTTGCAAGGTTTCTGCTGAGAAATCTATTGATAATCTTACAGTGCATATGATGAATCATTTTTCTCTGGTTGTTACCAAAATTTTCTCTTCATCTTTGACTTCTGACTTATTGTAATGTGTCTAACTGTGGGCCTTTTTGAGTTTATCCTACTTGGAGTTCATGGAGCTTTTTGTTATTGTATATCCGTTTACTAAATTGGGCAACTTTCAGCTATTATTTCTTTAAGTGAGCTATTTGCCCTCTTTTCTCTTCTGAGATTACAATAATGTATATATTGGTCCACTTGATGGTGTCCTTATAAGACTTCTAGCCACTGTTCACTTTTCTTTTTTCTTTTTGCTCCTCTGACCTGATCATTTCAAATGACCTGTCTACAGGTTCACTCATTCTTTCTTCTATCAGTTTAATCTGCTGTTAAACCCTTCAAATGAATTTCAGTTGTTGTATTTTTCAGCTTCAGATTTTTTTTTTTTTTTTTTTTGAGTTGGAGTCTCACTCTGTTGCCCAGACTGGAGTGCAGTTGCCGCTCCCGGCCACTGCAGCCTCGACCTGCTGGGCTCCAGCGATCCTTCCACCTCACCAAGTAGCTGGATCTACAGGCGTGCACTACCACGCCCGGCTGATTTTTGATTTATTGCAGAGATGAGGTCTCAGCCAAGTTGCCCAGGTGGGACTCGAATCCATGGGTTCAGGCAATCCACTCACCTCAGCCTCCCAAAGGCGCGGGATTACAGGCTGAGCCATCGAGCCCGGCTTCAGATTTAAAAAAAAAAATATTTTCTTTGTTGCTATTCTCATCTTGTTCATATATAGTTTTCTTGATTTCATTTAGTTGTCAGTATTCTTCTTCAGCACGTGGAGCATATTTATATTAGTTGTTTTAAAGTCCTTGTCAAAGAAGTCAAAGGCCTTTGTTCCTTTAGGGTCAATCTGTAAATACTTATTTTGTTCCTTTAATGGTCCATGTCTCCCTGTTTCCTCATATGTCTCATGATCTTATGTTGAAAAATGGGCATTTGATAAAACAGCTGCTTCTTCCAGTCTTGCAAACTGGCTGCATATAGGGAAAAAGACCTTCACTCATCAGCATGGCATAAAGGCTTAGGGTCCCCTAAAACCTTTTCTGGGAATGTATCTTCCCTGGGCCTGTGTGTGTGCTTTAATTCCATTTTCCCATAAACATGGCTGTTTTTATTTTATCTTATTTATTTTTTTGAGTTGAGTCTCACACTGTCACCCAGGCTGGAGTGCAGTGGCACTCTCACGGCCACCCTAGCATCGACCTGCTGGGCTCTGGCGATCTTTCCCCTCAGCCTTCCAAGTAGCCGGAACTACAGGCGCGTGCTACCACACTTAGCTAATTTTTGATTTATTGTAGAGATGAGGTCTTGCCAAGTTGCCTGGGCTGGTCTTGAACCCGCGGGCTCAGGCAATTCATTCACCTCAGCTCCCAGAGTGCTGGGATTACAGGCTGAGCCACCGAGCCCAGCCACGGCTGCTTTTAAATGTTCTAATTTCCTAAGAGTCTCATCCTTGTTTCTCAGGCTGTATCTATAAGCTGTATTGTATTCCATACCCATAATTTCTTGCTACCAGGTTCCTGCAGTTCTGCAGACTCACTGCACTTAAATGAACCTACTGTTCCCATTAGTGCTTTGTGTTGGGAGAGACAGATACAAGTCCCTCCAGAAGTCCCTGGAAAAGTCAGAGAGTTGAAAGCAAGTTCCACTCTTTTCTTTTCATTTCAAGGGAGGAGCCAGGAATTGGATGGCTAGGTGGCTTCCTCCTTACTGTGCTATGCTTAGGGGAAGGATGTGGGGAAAGGGAAAGCAAAAACACCATGAAATTTCCTATTTTCTTTTTTTTTTTGAGTCGGATTCTCACTCTGTCACCCAGAATGGAGTGCAGTGGCTGCTCCCGGCCACTGCAACCTCGACCTGCTGGGCTCCGGTGATCTTCTGCCTCAGCCTTCCGAGTAGCCGGAATTACAGGCACGCGCTACCACACCTGGCTGATTTTTTAAATTTATTGTAGAGATGAGGTCTGCCAAGTTGCTCAGGTGGGTCTCGAACCCGCGAGCTCAGGCAATCCACTCACCTCAGCCTCCCAAGGCACGGGATTACAGGCTGAGCCACTGAGTCCGGCTTTTCCTACTATTTTCAATGTGATTTTTTTTTTGTTAGGCATTCCCTTAGTTGCTGCTGCTAACTGGTTTCTAGAATGTGCACGAAGCTACTTTGGTCTGTATATTTGGTCTTTTAGTGAGGGTGTGAGGGCCTGGAGCTTCCTTACTCACCATCTTGCTAATATTATTCAATTACCTTTTAAAGAAATATTTGTAGAAAAGAAGAAATCTATTTATATGTATCACGTTAGTATTTCTAGTATTCTTTTTTTCTCCTTCCTTTCCTTGTTTTTTATGTGTACATACATAGGTTCATATATCCTTCTGGTATAATTTTCTTTTTATAGGAAAGACTTCCTTTACCATTTCAAGTATGGATCTTACTGTATTTAATAACTTCTACTGACCTGTCTTAATCCAAATTGCTATAGAGCTTATCCAGTCAATTTTTACGTTTGTGAACTTGGTCTCCCTTATCATGGGAAGTAGATGAATTCTATGCTTGGCTCTTTAGACCGCAGCCATTCCCTTTCACGAGTTCCCAGTACCCTAAAATGACATTTAGGGGCCTGCCAAGGATTGGAGGGAAATATGTATGCATATTTTGAGGTATCTCTTTTTTTAGGAATTCCTACCTGGAAATTTGCACTATCCTGGTAGCCTTGCCCTCTCACTCCTCAGTCCAATAAGAATAGTATTTTTTGCTGGAGGTCTATCCCCTGTGAACTCATGAACTGGAAAGTGCTTTTAGGAGAAGCAACGGAATGTGGATCTCAACCAGTGTGCCTCTGTTCTTTCAAGGATCATATAATTTCCAGTCTCTACTTACTATTGATTACTCATCTATGCCTTCAACTGTATTTTCTAAATTGTGTCCAGACTTTAGATTTGTTACTGTCAGGAGAGTTGCTTCAATATAAGCTACTCTGCCATTACTGGAATTAGAACTGAGTTGTTTTTTTTTTTAATGGGAAAAACCTGAGCATGATTAAAAGTTATCAAATTCATTATTTAGTAAAGCAAAGAAATTTTTATCTACAAAAAAAAAATATTATTATTTTTGAGTCAGAGTCTCACTCTGTCACCCAGGCTGGAGTGCAGTGGCATGCTCATGGCCACACCAGCATCAAACTGCTGGGCTCAGGCAGTCCTTCTGCCTCAGCCTTCCAAGTAGCCAGAATTATATGTGTGCACCTCCACGGTGGCTAATTTTTTATTTACTGTAGAGACGAGGTCTCGCCAAGTTGTCTGGGCTGGTCTAGAATTCAGGGGCTCAGGCAATCCTCTCGCCTTGGCTTCTCAAAGTGCTGGGATTACAGGCTGAGTCACTGAGCCCAGCCAGTATTACTTTTTATCTTTTTTTTTTTTTTGAGTCAGAGTCTTACTCTGTTACCCAGGCTGGAGTGCAGTGGCACAATCACAGCTCACTGCATCCTTGACCTCTTGGGCTCAGGTGATCCTTGTGCCTCAGCCTCCTGAGAAGCTGGGATTACAGGCACACACTACCATGCCCAGTCAATTTTTTGATATTTTGTAGAGACAAGGTCTCACACTATGTTGCCCAGGTTGGTCTTGAACTCCTGGACTCAAGTGGTTCCTCTCAAAATGTTGGGATTACAGGCGTGAGCCATTGTGCCAAAAATAGTACTGTTTATTACTATGTGATGATAGTCTATAATTGTTTTCATTAACAAAGAATATATGGAATATTTTTTCTTTCATAGGATATAGCAAGTGAAGAACAAAAAAAAATTGAAGTGTTAAAATCAGAAAACAAGAAACTAGAAAAACAAAAAGGAGAATTAATGATAGGGTTCAAGAAACAATTAAAATTAATCGATGTTTTAAAAAGGCAGAAGGTGAGTCTAACAGTATATACATTTATAATTTTAACATTATATATTTAATATTTAACATTTAAAATGTTACATCAGGTATTATTTGGACACTTATGAAAATAAGTATTTTGACAACTTCTGACACTTCTGTTAGATTTCATATGTATGATGTGTTTTATATAATGTGTCATCTAAGCAAGTGGATATTTTCATATAAGTAAATTAATAGTATAGAAAATGAGACTAGGAAATACAGTATGGGTACTTCCCAACTACAGAAAGAACCATATTAAAAAAAATCAGGGCCGGGCTCGGTAGCTCAGCCTGTAATCCCGCGCCTTTGGGAGGCTGAGGTGAGTGGATTGCCTGAGCCCGCGGGTTTGAGACCTGCCTGGGCAGCGAGACCTCATCTCTACAATAAATAAAAAAATCAGCTGGGCGTGGTAGTGCATGTGTGTAATTCCGGCTACTTGGAAGCCTGAGGCAGAAGGATCGCCAGAGCCCAGCAGGTCAAGGCTGCGGTGGCCGGGAGCAGCCACTGCACTCCAGTCTGGGTGACAGAGTGAGACTCCAACTCAAAAAAAAAAAAAAAAAAAAATTTAGGGTATTGTTTTCTTCTTCAAGCTTCAGAGTGAACATTGATTCCAAACAAGTATTGTTCCTTTCTCTTAAACATGGGATACCTGGTGGTGAGAAGATACGAATTCATAGTTCTGCCACTTTCCCTCTTTGCAAAGGCCAGGTATTACAATATTATTGAATTATTCCCTTAACAATAAGTTGGTTCAGCATCACTGTTGGACAAAAAAGGCTTTTATTGGTTGATCCTTGAGTGTAATTACCATTTCAAATATCATGCTTATTGAAATTACAGGTATACCTTCCTACAACAGAACTTATATTCTAGCATATTATCCACACATGTTTTACAAATTTCCTTTTGTTCTGTGGTCTTCTTTATTACTAAATCAGACAATACTGATTTTTTTTTTAAAAAACAGATGCATATTGAAGCTTCCAAGATGCTGTGTTTCACTGAGGAGGAATTTATGAAGGCACTTGAATGGGGAAATTCATAAGTGATCTACTTCAGTTAGTCTCTATGAAAGTATGTGATGGACATCCATTTTATTTAACTTGTAATGGTTTGAATTATTTTTACTCTTCATAAGTAATTAAGATATTTGATTATGAAATTTATATAATTTCAGATAATTTCCTGTTTAGATTTGGAGGAAACAAAACTAATGTATTATTCCAATAATGTAATTATTAAAAAAAGGAAAAACTTTGTAAAATAAAGCAACAAAAATTTAAGTTTTGATTCTGCTATCTTTCTCATGACCCACTAGCTCTTTTGAGTTTTTACAACTACACTTGAAAATATTTTATATTCTAGAGAGTCAACTCTAGTTCATAAATGATAGTTTACCTTTGAGAAATGATTTTTTTTTTAATTGAGGACTGGAGGACTCTGTCTTCCAGGCTTAGAGTGCAGTGGCATGACCACAGCTCATAATAGCCTTGACTTCCTGGGCTAAGGTGACCTGCATCAGTTTCCCGAGTAACCAGGACTACAGGCGTATGCTACCATGCCAGGCTATTTTAGAGACGAGGTCTCACTATGTTGCCTAGGTTGGTCATGAACTCCTAGCTCAAGCAGTCCTCCCACCTTGGCCTCTCAAGGCGCTGAGATTACAGGCATGAGCCACTGTGCCCAGTCTGAAAAATTCTATTTTTAAGTTCTTAGTTAATGTGACAATTAGGCATATTAGGTAATAAAGCACTTTGAAATCCTTCACTCTGTTTCATTTTTCCTCTCTTAGAGTAGACAAAAAAGAATGCTTTAAAACCAAATTCTAAGTATTTATTTCCCTGGCCAAATCAAAGAAGTCAAGTTCCTTAACCACGGACAGAAGGCAGTTCACATTGGGCTAGAGTTCTGTATTAGTCAAGGAGAATATACTGTCTTGAGAATAGAGATACAGAAAAAGCACTGAAATGTAGGAGTGATATGGAGAAAACTGCGTGTGTATATATGTATATGTGTGTGTATATAAATATATATATACATATATATATATGGAGTGTTGTGGTGGTGTAGAATTCACATTTTTAAATTATTAGTACAAAAATAAGTGACTAAATTTTGCAGTTAAATATTCATTAACATTTTAAATTCTATCTGATAATTGTTTACAAATTATGAAATTCAGTGATGTTTTAGAAAATCCAAATAGACAATGGATTCCTACTGTCCTTGAACTGTAAAACAAAAGTTATGCTGACATCTAGTGGTAGCAAACAAAAGAATCCAGGTTTCACCCAATCTTGATATTACTTCTCTTCACAAATTTCACTCCGTTTCTGATATACTTTCCTAAACTCTTCACCAAGCAGGTCAATATCATCCTCTTTTTTAAATACTCCCTGTAAGAAAAACATTTTGTTGGTTACTTTTGAATTCCAGAATATTTCACTAACCGCATTTAAGACTGACATAGACATGAGGTTAGTTCTCCTCCTGCCTCCACAATTATTTCCCCTGCATAAATGGCAAATCTCAAAGACTTGCTTAGAATTTATAATCTATCTTATGAAGTTTATCAGTTATCTTCGGATTTTATCATTAATACATCATTTAGTATTTATTAACCCTGTCTAGCCAATTAGACTATAAGGTCTTGTTGTCAGGCAATAATTACACATATATTTATCTTCCTTTCATCCTTAGCACCAGCTTGAACACAAAATATGCATTCAATTCTACCTAATTAATAAAATATTGATTTTTAATTTAAATATTTAAATAAGATAACCATCCTTCAAAAATACAAATTAATAAAATATCAAATATGGCATGATTTCTATATTTGTATACAAATATGGTTATCTTATTTGAGTCTAGATGTTTTTATGGAGCCTATGAAACTCAGTTATTTTATTTATAGTCACAATGTGTCATAGATATACATTAAAATTCACAATCTTCTGGAAATTTAAAAGCCAGATTTATCAGTACCTACTTATAATAGTCTCCTACCATAGAGCACATTTGTCTCAGACTCAGTTCAAACATTGTACCTGTTATTGGTGTTATCAATTACAGCGTTTTCATGTATAGTCTCATCTTTGGTATATAAAGTATTACAGTTGCTCTAGTATAGTTTAGACTTCCTAAACGAGAAGGGTAGAAAAGAACCTCTAAAATATAAATTCAATAAATCCAGCTTATACCTCTAATAATGGGCCAAGACCAACTCTCTCATTTTAGAGATATTTAAATGGGCCCAGCGAGGCTCAATATCTGGCCAAGATCCCACTGCTGCTTCATAACAGAGCAAGAATTGAGTGAAACCTAGGTCCTGTGAAACCCAGATACCATGTTTTCTTCACTATTAGAGATCATAATGATTATACTTTGAGATATATCTTACTTTAGGGAGATATCCTAGTAATTTTGTAGCATGCTCTTTGAGAAGTTTTAGCCTTTCTTCTTCGATAATGGCATTAATACATCCTTGTCTTCTTTGCTGCAATTGCCATTCTTCTAGTTCACGTTGCTGGGAAGGTAAATCAAATTTTATTATCACAAAATACAATGATCTTCAAAGTTTTCAAATAAAACCATTCATGCAATCAATTGATGAACTAAAAGACATTGAATAGTTTTTATGTATAATATGTATTATATATACATATCTATATCTACATATTACCATTGTTATTCCTTTGTAATACAAGAATAGTTTGGGATTTTAGGAAGGTAAGTAGGAAGGTGTCTCCATTACCAAGGAGAAATATATTCAAAGGAGTGACTGCCTAATAAGTCCAATAAATATTTATTGAATGCTTACCTTACTGTCTGTCAGATGCTGAAGAGTTTACAGTGTAAGACAAAAATTAATTAGTGAATAAAACAGAATAGAGATATCTACAGGATAAATATTTTCATACATATGAAAGACTATATGAATAACATAAGAGTAACAGCAAGAATTCTAGCTAATAAACTTATTTCCAAAGAAAGAATACTATTAGATAATCCATCAAAATTTTGTGCTATATAATATAGAAGAGATGACTTGGCTTAAAGTTTTAGGACTTATGATAACTTTTATGGAATTGTATCCAATAGACCTATTATATAGGGCAGACCATTGTGATAAATTCCTCCCAAGTGTTACTTAAGTTAAAGTAATAGTGACAATAAGTTCCTTAAAGGAATATTTAGTTTACTTGTGTCGTTATTTCTTCTTCAGTCCTCTCCTTGTCAAAGACAAGTAAACCATAAAGGAGGATGCTGGTGTTCTTGGCTACAATGGGAGGCAAGCTTCTTTACAAAGCTAATAACTTTCCAGTTATTGGATAAAAATAAAAAAGGATGCAAGGCCACAGCCATATATATCCAGTGCCACTGAAAACTGGAACTGCTTCTCATGAGCTCGTGAGAATATTTTTGTCTACTATATATTAGATGTATTTTTTATTAAGAAACAGCATTAATAGCTAATGGATAAAAAACATTCTCACTCATTGATAGTGCTTGCTACTGAATCAAAAGCTTGAGTTGCTCTTAATTATTTTATCTCTAAGATGAAATAGGTTATAGAATCCGCCATGGCATCATTATACCTGAATTTTTTATTTTTTTTGAGACTACATTTATAAAGTTCTCTTACAGTCAGGTAAAGTCACAAGAGGCCTAGGTTTTAGCCCGTGGGATATAAGGAAAATGTCTTATGGCAGCTTCCAGGAATCTTTCTGTGTACACACACCCTTTATCCCATCTTCACTTCTCTCTGTTGCTTGAAACATGTATACAAAGGCTGAAGATCCAACTTAGGCCATGATGATGAGGGCTAAACCTTCCAGATGCTATCGTGAAAAGCAGGAGCCTGAGCTCCTGAATACTATGGGACAGACCCTCCATTCTAGCCCTGAACGGTCTCTCTCTTGACTTTTATGTAACAGAAGAGTAAACTACCTACTAAGCCACTTTGAGACTCTGCAATTGCAGTCAATCCTAATCTTAATTGATTCATTCCTTATAAACGGGCAGTGCAAGAAAGTTTTGTAACATTGCAGGGAAAACAGCACATTTGTCAGATTTTTGTCCAATGATGTAGAGTCTACTTTGGGTATAATACAAGATTTCCCTTCTTAGGGTTTGACAGATCATATTCAATTTAATAGTAAATAGTTTAGATAGGTATGAAACCAATTTATGTACTTGGGACAAATTCTGAATAGGTATGGTGGTAGGAAACTGTCTTCTGGGTAGTTTCAGATTTTGTCTGACTACCCATATGATTTTGTTTTTTAGAGGTAGACAAAATTACAGTTACCTATTTAGGAATATCTCTGAATCTAAAAATCAGGGTTAGACCCTACAGGATTGTGTCATGGAGTGAATTAATGAGTACTATCATGAAGATCTGTCCTTGTCTTTGGGTTAAAAGAAAAAAAGGTTGTCCAATCTTAGACTTAAAGCTAAGCCACAGCTTCATATTGGGAATATCCATACATTTTTTAAAAGTTAAGACACAAATTATTTGTACAAGTATTAGGTGGTTTCCATTTATAGTTGTCTTTCGTAAAGTTTCCAGGAACTTTCCCATCCAAGTGCTAACTAGGCCTAACCCTACTTAGCTTCCAAGAACAGACAGCGCCAACTCAAAATATAACACTTGTATTCCATGAGTTTGAAACCTTTGAATTATTTTAACTCCTACCCTGTATGGTTAAAAAAAAAAAGTCATGCAAGTTTCCTTTTAAAATGTTTATTTTCTTTCTCTCTTCTATTGCTTTTCAAAGCACTTTCTTATCTCATTTGGTTCTTTGGGGGGGAAGACAGAAGTAGAGGGAGAGGAGGAGGAGGGAGAGGAAAAGGGGAAGGGGGAAGAGAGAAAGGGGAGAGGAGGAGGAAGGGGGAGAAGGAGAGGGAAAAAGAGGAGGATGGAGAGGGAAAGGGTGGGAGCTCATTTGGTTCTTAAACCACAAAAATATAGTGAGAGAGATTTTATGATTATAAAATGTGGACAAAATAGAATTATTTACCCCCTCAAAATACATTTGTCTTTTTTACGTATTCTTTCTGTAGGACATCATTCATTCATTCATTGACTATGGAAGTGACAGTATTCTGTATTAATAGTAGCCTTAAGTCTTCTTTCACCTCATTGGTCACCAAGCCCCATCAGTCCTATATCCTTAATGCCTCTCAGATGAATCCCTTCTCCATTTGGAGAGGTTTCACCACTTATCACTGAGATTATTATAACTTCCTTATTGGTCTCCCTGTCTCCAAGCTTACGCTTACATCTACGTAGCCTTGATGTTGTTACTTGAATCATGTTTCAAAATACAGATCTTAGTATGTAGCTTTCATAATTCTTCAGTGGTTTTCCTTGGAAAAAGCCCACCATCTGAAATAGCTTGCAGGGCACTTATGATCTGTCTCTCCTCTCTGCCATATCAAAACGTCCATACATGTATAACTATTACACACATGACATGTTTATAGTTAATTTCTATATATTTTTCTAAACCAAGACCGTACTTTCATAGATAACATGAATTTAGTCATATTTACATTTATGTTCTTAATACCAATGTTTAGCACATAGAAAGCATTGATAAATATTTCATATTTATTCATATCTAGACATATAAATGATTGGTCAGAAAATTTATATATCATATATTAGTAAACAGATATGTAACATTGTCTGACATATAGAAGGTCCTTGGCTGGACATGGTAGCCCTCGCCTGTAATTGCAGCACTTTGGGAGGCCGAAACGGAAGGACTACTTGAGTCCAGCAGTTCAAGACCAGACTAGGCAACATAGTGAGACCCCCATCTCTACAAAAAAAATTTTTTTAATTAGCTGGGTATGGAGACACACACCTGTGGTCCCAGCTACTCAGAAGGCTAAGGTGGGAGGATATTTTGAGCCCAGCAGTTCAAAGTGGCAGTGAGCTATGAGTGAGCCTAATGACAGATTGAGACCCTCTTAAAAAAAAAAAAGGCTTAGTGGATGATAGATGAGCTGATTACTGTTTAATTATAATGACAAAAAGCCAAAAAACTTTTCTTACTTTGTCTGCAAGGAACTGATTGTGACGCTCTTCAATAAGTTTTTCCACAGCCCTCTTATGTTCCAGTTGCTTCATTCTTTGTTTCTGAGCATTCATTAATTCTATTCGATCATCCTCAGCAAGTTTAGCTAGCATCGCTTTTCTAAAGATCTCCTCTTCCTCTTTTGCAGCCTGCAGCACTAATTCCTTCAAGGCCATTTGTTCTTCAAAATCTTGCTTCATCTCCCTTTGCTTTCTCAATTTCTCTTCTGCTTCTTCCTAAACAACAATAGAGCCAAAAGTTAACTCAGTAACCATTTCTTTACATTGATTTATACAGAAAGGTGGGAGAGAGTTTGGTTAAGCTTAAAATTACAACATGAAAATCATAAACTGAAAAAGTAAGCCTTTCCTTGATTACACTTTGCCCCATCCTTTTAAAACTAGTTGGATAAAGGACATGTTACCTTTGGATTGTCTATGACTCATTTAAAATTTTTAATTGGTATATATTTATACAAATTAGGATCAACACATAATTACTTTGAAAAGAGCTAATTTAAAAACTTTTGGCACACCTGTGGTTATTAATCTGAGGTCTGTGAAATTTGTACCAACTATGAATCATTCTAGAATATTGTCTAAAACAAATGTCACTGATAAGTATTTTTCAGTTTCCAACTTCCTCCCTTTATGAAATCAGAGCTGCATTTAGACATCTCTAGTATTCTAACAGTCCTTCCATTCTCCAAAATTCTCTAAAATCTAAAAGCAATAACCTAGCAATAACAATTAGAACGTATTCAGGGAAATTCAAATTTACTTGGGCCAGTTAAAGTCCTTTCCTATGAGCTTTTATTTTCTGAATATTTTATTACGAAACATTTCAAACATATTGAAAAATATAATTTTCCACTGATCACCCATATACCTAACACCTAGATTCTACCAATAACATTTTACTATACTTTATCATCTATCTATTCAATTAGGACTAGTGTAAATTTTAAATCCTTCTCTTCTTCTCTAATCTAATCTACTTTGCTGCTACAAAGTAGATGTAGTATCCTCCAAACCTCATGTTGAAATTTGATCCTCAGTGTTAGAGGAGGGGCTGACAGATGTTTGGACGTGAGGCAGATACCTCATAAATGGCTTGGTGCCATTCTTGCAGTAATGAATGATTTCTCACTCTATTTGTTCCCACAAAAGCTGGTTGTTAAAAAGGAGCATGATACCACCCCCCATCCTTGCTCTTTCTCTTGCCATGTGATCTCCACATGTTGGCTCCCCTTCACCGTCTGTCATGAGTAGAAGCAGCCTGAGGCCCTCACCAGATACAGATGCTGGTGCTATGGTTCTTGTATAGCCTGCAGACTGTGAGCCAAATAAACCTCTTTTCTTTGTAAATTACCCAGCCTCAAATATTCCTGTATAGCAACACAAATAGACTAAGACACTTGCCCGATTCTAACACAAACTCCAGGAAGACCAATATCCCCAAGGCATCTAAAATATGCCCTATACCTCTATTGGTCAGGGTTCTTACAGACAACAGAAAGGGATTTACCATTAGGTGGCATACAGAACTTCCAAAAAGGCCAGGGAACCAAGCTGCTATCCAACCCCAGGATGGCAACTACCAAAGCTACCCTAAATGATCTTATCTTCCTAAGTGTGGCTATTATCTCATTTTGCTCACTTCAGACACTGGAGAGGGGAGATAACTGTTGGAGATAATTTTGATTATATGAAGAACCCTAGCTAAAAGAAGAGAAATACAGTTTTAACTTTATAGTCTTTAAAATGTAGTAAGGGGCTGGGTATGGTGGCTCAGCCTATAATCCCAGCACTTTGGGAGGTTCGAGACCAGCTTGGGCAACTTGGTGAGACCTTGTCTCTACAATAAATCACAAAAATTAGACAGGTGTGGTGGCATGCGTCTGTAGTTCCAGCTACTTGGAAGGCTGAGACAGAAGGATTGCCTAAGTCCAGCAGGTCAAGGCTGCAGAGGCCATGCACGTGCCACTGCACTCCAGCCTAGGCGGTAAGAGTGAGACCCCAACTCAAAAACAAACAAACAAACAAACAAATCCAACAAAATGTAGTAAGATAATTTTTTTACATGGGGGGTAGGGATGTTAGGTGAAACAATTTGTAGTATCATTGTTACCAACTTTGTTCGTTATATTCTATATTGAGTATTAGACATTTTCTTTATTTCTCCTATCTAATCCCCCTTCAAATCCTATCTCTTCCATAACATCTTCTCCGATTATCCTAACTCATACTCATCTCTCCTGGCATCTTAATTTTGTATTAATTTCTCCATTAATTTTATTTCAGACATACACACCTTATCTCCTCACTGAAAATTAATTCCCAGAGGGCATATCCTGTTTTCCTTTGGCATGTGTTATGTTTTTTAAAAACATAAGTAATATAATACAAATAATACAAATTGAAAAAGCAATATAGTATAACAAATATTTACACAGCATTGGCATGTATTAGGTAGTATAAGTTATCTAGAGATGATTTAAAGTATATGGGGATATACATAGATTATGTGTAAATATTATACTATTTTATATATAGAACTTGCCATGATTTTGGCATCCACATCCATGGGTGTCCTAGAACCAATCCCCCAGAGACCCCAAAGGACAAGTATATTATGCAGAAGTCAAAAGGCTCACTGAAGGCAGAGATACTATCACATTTAGTTTTGAATTCCTCACAAGCTTAAAATAATACTTTGCACACATAAATTTAATACATATTGAACTAAATCCACTTCCTGGCATCCATCTCCCATACAAATTTTAGTTTAATCCAATGGTGAAGACAACTAGATAAAAAACAGGGAGACCTTTGGCAAAACAAAACACCATTACATTTTTTCAACGACATAAGTGTTCATATACTCAGGATTATGCTAGTTACATAATATGAAGTATATAATTTCCCATCCTTTTCTATGTTCTAAAACCCATTATGGGGTTTCAGAAATAGCTGTTCATTGAAACTTTGAAATAATTTGCTGTAAACCACTCTGAGCCTAGAGACTTTTAGGTCATCTTAGTCTGGGTTCTCCACTGAAAGCACAGCCTTAAACAAGGACTTGTGCATAATTTTATCAGGCAAGTAATTCCAGGAAGCAGCAGTAAAGACAAACAGTGAAACAGGGAAGGAAGAAAAGCCAGCACAAGGGCGTATAACTGAGCTGGATACCACTGTGGGCAAATGAGGCACAATTCTGCCAGAACCCTGTGAGGGACGCATGGAGTACCTTCTATGACCTTCCCAAGAGTGGACAAGAAGAAACATTTATCCATTAGTTCCTGCCCACAGTTGGTTTAGGGACACCTGACAGCAGGGGTCCCTAACTCCTGGGCCATGGACTGGTACCAGTCTGTGGCCTGTTAGGAATTGGGCTGCACAGCAGGAGGTGAGAGGCAGGTGAGCAAGCTTAGCTTCATCTATATTTACAGCTGCTCCCCATTGCTAGCATTACTTCTGAGCTCCACTTCCAGTCAGACCAGTTGTAGCATTAGATTCTCATAGGAGTGCAAACCCTTTTGTGAACTGCACAGGCAAGGGTTGTAGGTTGCATGCTCCTTAAGAGAATCCAATGCCTGATGATCTTAGGTGGAGCTGTGGTGGTGATGCTAGCGCTGGGGAGTAGCTGCAAATACAGATTAACATTAGCAGTGAGGTTTGACTGCACAGAAACCATAATAAATCAATTGCTTGCAGACTCATATCAAAACCCTGTCAGTGAGTAGCAACTGAGTTGACGTACTTCAATTGTATGGCTGCATCTGGTGGCAGACTTTAAGTCAGAATCTGAAACTTATTTTAGTCCACGTGTGGCCCACCCATTATTTTATTTGCCATTTCTGTCTGTGGCTTTTTTTTTTTTATGGTGAGTTATGTAATTATTTCATTATATATCACAACATAATAATAATAGAAATAAAGTGTACAATAAATGTTATGTGCTTGAATCATCCCCAAACCATCCTACTCCCTCCCCAGTCTGTGGTAAAATAGTCTTCCATGAAACTAGTCCCTGATGGCCAAAAGGTTGGGGACCACTGCCACAGAGGACATTACTCCTTGCTCCCTCCCACATCCCACACTTTAGGAAGTGGTCAGCACAGAGTCAGTCTCACCCTCAAATATGTTCTCTACAGCTACCATTGAAATCAGTGGTGAGGCAGAGAGGATGTGAGGCAAGGAAAAACACTTTGATATAGGAGATAACCTCAACAATCGTATTTTGTCTGATTTTTCTGAACTTTTAAACACTGTTATTTTTTAACTCAGGATATTTTGTCATGGAGACTTTTACAATTTATTAGTATACAACTGATTAGATTGTTTTTCTAATCTTTTCTATAATTTCCTTTATAGATTATTTATTCCTTCTAATTTTATTTTTCACTTTTTTCTTTCTTACATTGTTCTTTTTTTCCTCTGATATTAAGCACTTGGATTAATTAATGGTAATGTATTTTCCTGACTTTTACATAATTTCCACTTATAATCTTTGGTATTTTCTCCATTCTTGCCTTATACTTAGATTTGTATTTTTTAAGTTACTGAGTGTATTGCCTGTTTTTTCTAATTTCTCATTTAATAATTGTCTCAGAGATCAGTTTTACAAATCAGTTGCTTACAGACTCATATCAAAAGCCTATCAGTAAGTATTGGTCAATGTTGATATGTAGTAATCTCATCCTCTAAACAGTTGTAAATTTCCTCTTCAATAATAATTGAGAAGAATGTATTTAAGATTTTCAGTTAGTAGGTTAAAATATTTATTATTAATTTCTGGTGGTGTGTTAAACACTCTTATATTATGCTGGTAAATTTCCTTAGATTTCTAATTGCTTTTAAGGTTATGTGAAATAATGCAACATTACATGGAAGACTAAATGTTTTTTCCTGTTATACCTTCATTATTGATTATACTTTTCATCTGTTATAGCTGGAATTCATTGTAATGTTCCACTTAGATGGAACATCTACTTCCCACTTGTTCACGTATGTCTATTATGCCTTCATCTATCACTTCATTAACTTTTTTGGGTAACTTGGTATTAATATAAGTGGATTTCATTAAGATATTTATAAAAAGGTCTGTACATATTTTATTGTATATTCCTGTATGCAGTAAATCATTAATAATTATTAAGAATACACATGCAATAGGTTTTGCTATCAAAACATGGCATCTCTTTCCTGCTCATTGATGAAACAGTGCATCCAAA